AGCAGACACACACCAAGACATATTATAATGATAATGTGTAAAATATAGAATAAGGATAAAATCTTAAAGGGCGAGAGAGGAAAAACAACAACAACAACAAAACAAATTACCAGGGGGAAATCAATCAGATCTCAACTGATTTCTCAATCTAGACCCTCAAAACTAGAAGATTTTGGAATAATATATTTCAAGCTCTGAAAGAAAATGATGCCAACCGAGAATTTTATGTCCAGGAAAATTAAGTTTCAGGAAGATGAAATAAAAACCTTCCATGATAAAAAAAAATTAAAAGAATTCACAACTAGAAAGCTTGCACTACAGGACAGTCTCAACAAAATAATCCATGAGGATGAAGTGAAAAAAAAGTGAAAATGAGCAAAGGGAGGAATTACACTAAAGAAATAGTCAACCAAAGGAGAAACTAAGTCAATTTTAAAAAAAGAAATAAACAAAATGACAGGAGATACAAATCATACCTCAATAATAACCTCGAATGTTAATGTCCTAAACACATCAATCAAAAGACACAGAATGGCAAATTGCATTAAAAAACAAGATTCAACAATGTGCTGTCTCCAAGAGATTACACTCATAGGCAGAGACATCCACAGACTGAAAGTGAAAGGATGGGAAAAATATATCATTTATATGGATTACATAAACAAGCAGGAGTACCCATCCTCATTTCAGATAAAGTAGACTTCAAGCCAAACTTAATCAGAAGGAACAAAGAAGAACATTTCATACTACTTAAGGGGATTATGTATCAGCAAGGCATAACAATTGTAAATATTTATACTCCTCCCCAAATGGAGCATCAATATATATGTCAAACAAACCCTTCTCAATTTCAAGAATCAAACAGATCATAATGCAATAGTACTAGGTGACTTTAACACACTGCTCACTAATGGGTGATCTTCCAAACAAAAACTAAATAAAGAAACTATAGAACTAAATAATACAGTCAATAATTTATATTTAACAGACATATATAGAATATTTCATCCATCAACAAGTGAATATGCTTACTTCTAGGCAGTACACAGCTCCTTACCTAAAATAGACCATATCTTATGGTACAAAGAAAATCTTGGTAAATACAAACAAACAAACAAACAAACAAACAAACCCCCAAATGGAGATTATACCTGCATTCTATTATATCATAATGGAATGAAATTAGAAATCAACAATAAAAATAAAACAGAGAAACTGCTCTAAAAATGGAGACAAAATAATACACTATTGAATAATGAATGGATAGTAGAAGAAATCAAGGATAAAATTAAAATTCTTAGAGTAAATGAGAACACTGACACAATATACAAAATTTTTGGGACACTATGAAGGCAGTACTAAGAGGAAAGTTTATTGCATTGAGCTCATTCATTAAAAGAATAAAAATTCAACAAATAAATGACCTAACATTACACCTCAAAGCCCTTCTAGACAGAAAATATAAAATCAGAGCTGAAATAAATTAAATTGAAACAAAAATAATTGAAAACATTGATGAAACGAAAAGTTGGTACTTTGAAAAAAATAAATAGAATAGATAAACCCCTAGCCATGCTAATGAAGATAAAAAGAGAAAACTCAAATAACTAAAATACATGTTGAAAAACAAACAGTTCTGAAATACAGAACATAATTAGAAACTATTTTGAAAATTTATACTCCAATAAAATAGAAAATATTGAAGACATAGACAAACTTCTGGAGACATATGACCCACTCAAACTGTATGAGGAGGTCATACATGATTTAAACAGATCAATTTCAAGTAAAAAAAAAATAGAAAATGCTATCAAAAGCTTACCATTCAAGAAAAGCACAAGACCAGACGGATTCTCAGCCAAGTTCTACAAGATATTTAAAGAACAATTAACATCAATACTCCTCAAAGTATTCCATGAAATAGAAAAGGAGGGAACCCTTCCAAACTCATCCTATGAGGCTAAAATCACCCTGATACCAAAATCAGACAAAAACATCAAGGAAAGAAAACTTCAGACCAATATCCCTGATGAGCATAGATGCAAAAATTCTCAACAATATTCTGGCAAATTGCATACAAAAATATATTAAAAAGATGATGCACCATGATCAAGTGGAGTTCATCCCAGGGATGCAAGGTTGGTTCAACATACAGAAATCAAAAAGCATAATTCATCATATTGATAGACTTAAAAACAAGTATTATATGATCATCTCAATAGATTCAGAAAAAGCATTTGACAAAATACAGCACCACTTCATGTTCAAAACACTAGAAAAACTAGGGATAGTAGGAATATACTTCAACATCATAAAAGCTATATATGCTAAACTGAAGGCCAGCATAATTATACATGGAGAAAAATTGAAAGCATTCCCTCTAAAAATTGGAAAAAGACAATGGTGCCCTCTTTCACCACTTTTATTTAACATTGTCCTTGAAACTCTAGCCAGAGAAATTAGAAGAAAGAAATTAAAGGTATACAAATAGGTAAAGAAGAACTCAAACTATCTGATGACATGATTTGTCGATGACATGATTTTATACTTAAAAGATCCAAAAAATTTCACCAGTAAACTTCTAGAACTAATAAATGAATTCAGCAAAGTAGCAGGATATAAAATCAATACCCATGAATCAAACACATTCCTATATATCAGGGATGAATCCATTGAAAAAGAAATTAGGAAAACTACCCTAGTCACAATTTCCTCAAACAAAACCAAAACCAAAAACAACTTGGAAATTAACCTAACAAAAGTAGTGCAAGACCTCTACAATGAAAACTATAGAACACTAAAGAAAGAAATTGAAGAAGACCCAAGATAGGAAGATCTCCTATACTCCTGGATAGGCAGAATTAATATTGTCAAAATGGCCATACTACCAAAACTGTTATACAGATTGACTGCAATTCCTTTTAAAATACCAATGACATTTTTTTTTATAGAAATATAAAAGGTGATCATGAAATTTATTTGGAAAAATAAGGGACCCAGAATAGCTAAAGCAATCCTTAACATGAAAAGTAAAGCAGGAGGTATTACAATACCAGACCTTAAACTATACTGCAAAGCTATAGTACAAAAACAACATAGTATTGGCACCAAAACAGACACATATACAAATGGTCAGGATAGAACACAGAGACAAACCCACTCAAACACAGTTATCTCATATTAGACAAAGGTGCCAAAAATATTTGCTAGAGAAAAGATAACCTATTCAACAAAAGGTGCTGGGGAAAATGGAAAGCTACATGTAACAAAATGAAATTAAACCTCTATCTCTCACTCTGTGTGAAACTCAAAGTGAATCAAACACAAAGTGAATCAAAGACTTAGGCACTAGAACAGAGATCCTGTCCATTCTAGAAGAAAAAGTATGCCCAAATCTTCACCATGTTGGCTAGTTTCTGACTTCCTTAACATGACCCTGAAGGGCAAGAATAAAACCAAGAATCAATTAATTGGATGGATTCAAACTAAAAAACTTCTTCTTATCAAAAGAAACAATCAATAATGTGAAGAGAGAGTCTACAGATTCCGAGAAAATATTTACCAAATGCACAAACTAAAAAACTTCTTATCATCAAAAGAAACAATCAATAATGTGAAGAGAGAGTCTACAGATTGGGAGAAAATCTTTACCACATGCACCTCAGATAAAGCATTAATCTCTAGGATATATAAAAAATTCAGAAAATTTAACACCCAAACAAACAAACAAACAACCAAAAACAAAACAAAGCAAACAAGTAACCCAATCAATAATTGGGCTAAGAAACTGAACAGACACTTCACAGAAGAAGAAATACAATTGATCAACAAATATATGAGAAAATGTTCAACATATCTAGCAATTAGAGAAATGCAAATCAAAACTACTAAGGTTTCATTGCACTCCAGTAAGAATGGCAATTATCAAGAACATAGACAAGAATAAGTGTTGGTGAGGATGTGGGGGAAAAGGCATACTCATACATTACTGGTGGAAACGCAAATTGGTTCAACCACTGTGGAAAGCAGTATGGGGATTTCTCAGAAAACTCGGAATGGAACCACCATTTGACCCAGGTATCCCACACCTAGTTTTAGACCCAAAGGTATTAAATCAGCATACTACAGTCATATGGCCATGTCAATGTTTATATCAGCTCAATTAATATGGAACCAACCTAGGTGCCCTTCAATAGATGAACGAATTAAAAAAACAAAAACAAAATATCCCCCAAAGTGGTATAAACACACAGTGGAATATCACTCAGTTTTAAAGAAGAATGAAATTATGGCATTTGCAGGTAAATGGATGGAGTTGGAGAATATCATGCTAAGCAAAATAAGCCAATAAGCCAAAACCAAAGGACAAATGTTTTCTCTGATATGTGGATGCTAATTCACAATAAGGGAGTGGGGGCATTGGGGAAGAATAGAGTTACTTTTTATTAGGCAGAGGAGAGTGAAGGGAAGGGAGGAGATATAGGAATAGGAAGGAGGGTAGAATGAAACAGACATTATTACATCATGTACATATATGACTGTATGACTGATGTGATTCTACAACATGTACAATCAGAAAAATGAGAAATTATACCCCATTTATGTTTGATATATCAAAGTGAATAGATGCATTCTACTGTCATGTATAACTAATTAAAACAAATAAAATTTAAAAAATAGAAAAAAATGCAAGCAATTTTTTTTAAAGATTTATTGAAATAATAGCACAATACATTACTAACATGATGAAGAATGTGACAATTGTTATTTTTCAGAATATTTTGTAATTGCCTAACTATGCTTAACTGCTTAGGTATGAAAAAAAGCAAAGCAATTAAAATTAAGATAAAACTTGATGCTACTTGATAACTTTCACAAAACAACCATAATTTTTTTTTCTCAAAAGTCAGCCTTCTTAAATGCTGTTGGCCACAAATGATCCCTACTCCACACCCACCCCATTGCTCCTATTTTTTCCCCTCCCTAAGAAGAATAAAAGGCAAAAAATAGCCAAGTAATAAGCTAAATATAAAAAATAAAATCCACAATTCAAAAACACAAAATTCTTTTTTTTCACTCTCTAAGTCTATGCTCCTGAGCATATGGAAAAGCAATGAAATCAATTCTCTAACTCTTTTTCTTCTATCCCACCCCATGCATTTCTGAATAATTGAAAATCCATTTATTATTGTGACTAATTGTATACAATCAGGAGTACTAGTTATATGGTTTTACAATCACATTTGGCACAATTTTTTATAAGAAATTATTCAAGTGTTCTCTGATCCACACCTCAAGAACTTAGCCCCAAGTGAAGATGACTTTATTGAGGTTTAGGCCACTGGTCTTTAGAGGTGTGGAGGTGTGTGGTTGGAGGACTCTGATTATCCCTATAATCTCCAAAAGTATCCCAAACAAAATGACCACCATCTGTGTGCCTTAGATTCAAGCCAAGCTCTCTCCATGGATTCTAGCGAGTCCCAATCACACTTTTATTCATAAGATCCTCCACCAGCAAGGATGAAGGGGTTTTCAGTAAGACACCCTTTGCCAGGAGAGTTGAGCTGTTATTGTGGTCCAAATGGGGAGGTAAATTTTCTTTTTCTTTTTGAGAAATATTACACTTAATTTTGGGAATAAAGATATATTCTTTGAAGACAATATTAAAACCAAACAAAAACAAAAAAGAAAATCTTAATGTAATTACACGTTAATTGGGGGAAATTATATTGAGTGGACCTCTCTTGATGTTTAGATGTTATTGTTAATAATCTAGATATTAATCCAGAGATCATGAGTATTTTTTTTTCAAAAAACTGTTCTTATATATACAGAACAGGACTTAAAACAAAATTTTGGTCAGTAAGTAGAAATATTTCATAATAGAAAATAAATATAGAAAAAGTATGATTACATCAAATAGAAATGCATAGATAAACATTCGTATAAAAATGTTAAATTGGAATATCTATGTCAAATTAACTGACTCAACAGAGTGAAAAATGATTCTTAAGGATTGTCTCTCAGCCTGTAATTCTATTTTCAAAAAATTCATTCAATACTTTTATTAAATGCCTACTATTCTTTGGTTCTTAGATTTTGTTTTGCTGTTTTAGGAGAATGAAGATCATTTTTCAGGATGTTACAATCAGAAATAAGTTTCTGTATTTCACAGAGCCCTTTATTCTTTACCTTCTTTACATTCTAATTTTTGAAGGGTATCAGTCAAATTTTGTTCACAAGTGAAATATTAAGAAAGAAACAATAGAAAAACAAAATAAGTGTCTGAAATGTAACAGTGAACATTGCTTAAAGAAAACATGGAAAAGACTTTCAAAAAATTCTTAAACATGAGCCTTCCCATCCTCAGAGAGCTTTTGATTTCCATACTGCGGAGCACTCCATAATCAGTCATGGGGTTCCCACACACCTCTCTTTACTTCTCTGACTTCTTCTGTCTAACAGGGGCAGATATATTTCAGCCACTACACAGTAGCCAGAGTGAGGCGTGAGAGCTTCAATTTCAGCAACACCATTAGTCCCTTCATATACTTGTTGCTCCTATTTTCAAGGGAAAGAAAAAAATCATAAGATAAATGATTTCCAGTGAGTCATGATAAGCTCTACCTGTGCTAAATTCATTTAGCTATCATGGTCACCCTAGTTGATGGGTTGTAGGTTTCCTTCTTAGACACATCCACTTTCCCCAGAGTCCTGGGCTGCAACTTGGTAAAGGGACTGGTCCAGTGTCCAAGTAGCTTCTACCCGAGACTTCCCTGAGGACTGTTGATGGATTAGCTCGAATATCAGAGTCTCTTTTTCAAGAATTTAAACTGTGAAGTGAGAAGAATAGTTTCCTGTTTCTGGTTGTCCATGAGATTGCTTGTTATCTCCTAGTAAAACTCCTCTGCTTTTGCATTTCAGTGAATTTGAACAGGATTTTTCTTCCTTATAATCAAAGTAATCCTGTCTTAGATGGATCCCCCAAAAGAAACATTCAGTTCATCACTACATCCAAATAAAGGCACCAAATGATGGATTTTCTAATAGCAAAATTGGTACAAATATATTGTGCTGTGAAAAAAAGCTACTCAAGTAAATAAAGCATATAAAACCCACAGAAGGAACATCTGTGGTGGTCAAGTGGAATTAAATATTATCAATACCAGTTTCTAGATGTGCAAGGAAGACCAAGTGGAGACAAGCTGAATGAAAGGGCACATAAGCACGCACATACATACACACACACACACACACACACACACACAAACATACTTGTACACACATGCACACACAGAAATTCAAATGATTATCCTAGCACTGATTCCTTCTCAATGAAAGTTAAAGTGAGAAAGAACAAGAAAATAAAAGAAAAAATAGAGGAGTGAGTAGCAAAAGACAGGAAAATAATATGGTCAATGTGTTAGTTGTGTGAACAAATTAAAAAGTATTAAACTTATCTGTTCATCCAATCTTACCTTTTTCAGTGAAGTTTTGATTATAAAAACTCGGTATAGTAGGTTGTAGTAATTTTCCATTGATATATTTTTTCCTTTTTGTTCTTTATATGGCAAATGTGGGGCATGGAGTACCACCCATGAAGACCCATTTATTTGGGTTATGTTTACAACTGGAGGATCTATTTTCACTGGAGAAAGAATAGAAATTTCGACAAACCACTTAGAAAATGAAATTTTACATGTGAACACATTATGCATCCTGACAGATCACTATTGCATTCAGAAATCTGGTGGAGGGAACACAACACGACCTGGATATGATTTGATTTATGTCCATAGTACAGTTCTATGGAGTAACTGGTCTTTTTAATAAATGAGATTGGATCAATTTGGAGGGAAAATCTTGTTTCTCTAAACTACTCATTTGCAAAATCAAGTCTGGTTGGATAAAAGCAATAATTCTCAGCAACTACAACCTATAAACCAAATTTGGCCTGTTTGTTTTGGTACATAAAGTTTCATTGGACCATAACCAAATCTATTCATTCTCAAATTGTCTATAGTTACTTTTGCACCACAATGAAAAGCTGAGTAGTTGCAATACAGACACACATGGCTCACAAAACCTAAGGTATTTCCTATTGGATCTTTTATAGAAAATGTTTGGTGACATTTGCTAACATAGGAGAATATTTTTATTCTTTGGGGAAAGGTGGGCCCCTAAAGTACTAATGACAAAGGAAATTAGTGATGAATTGGATTACACTAAGAACTTCTGTTTATTAAAATATACTGTTAAAATGATGAAAAAATTCAAATATAAACATATTTTCAAAATGACCATGTTACCAAAAGCACTTTACAGATTTAATGCAATTCCAATCAAATTACCAATGACATTCCTCATAGAAATAGAAAAAGAAGTCATGAAATTCATCTGGACAAATAAGAGACCCAGAATAGCTAAAGCAATCCTTAGCAAGAAGAGTAAAGTAGGCAGCAGCATCACTATACCATGACTCAAACTATACTACAGAGCAATAGTAACAAAAACAACATGGTATTGGCATTAAATAGACTTGTAACCAATGGTACAGAATAGAGGACACAGAGACATAAACCCACATAACTTTAGTTATCTTATACTAGACAAAGGTGCCAAAAAACATACATTGGAGAAAAGATAGCCTCTTCAACAAGTGGTGCTGGGAAAACTGGAGATCCATATTGCAACAGAATGAAATTGAATCCCTATCTCTCACAAAGCACAAAACTCAACTCAAAATAGATCAATGACCTAGGAATTAAACCAGAGATTCTGTGACTAATAGAAGAAAAAGAGGCCCTAATCTCCATCATGTGAGATTAGGCCCCAACTTCCTTAATAAGACTCCTTTAGCGTAAGAATTAAAATTAAAAATCAATAAATGGGATGGATTCAAACTAAAAAGTTTCTTTTCAGCAAAAGAAATAACCTGTGAGGTGAATAGAGAGCCTACATTTGGGGGGCAATTTTACCACACACACATCAGATAGAGCACTATTTCTAGGGTGTATAAAGAACTTAAAAATCTTACCTCCAAAAAAACAAATAACCCAATCAATAAATGGGCCAAGGAACAGAACATACACTTTTCAGAAGATGATATGCGATCAGTCAACAAATATATGAAAAAAATGTTGAACATCTCTAGCAATTAGAGAAATGCAAAACTATTCTAAGATTTCATCTCATGCCAGTCAGAATGGCAGCTATCAAGAATACAGACAACAATAAATGTTGACAACGATGTAGGGGAAAAGGTACACCATATACTGCTGGTGGGACTGCAAATTGCTGCAACCAATTTGGAAAACAGTATGGAGATTCCTTTGAAAATTGAGAATGAAACCACCATTTGACCCAACTATCCCACTCCTAGTTTTATACCCAAAGGAATTAAATCAGCATACTATAGTCATGTGGCCATGTCAAGGTTTATAGCAGCTCAATTCACAATAGCTGAACTGTGGAAGCAAACAAGATGCCCTTCAATAGATGAATGGATAAAGAAACTGTGGCATATCTCACAATGGAATATTACTCAGCATTAAAAGAGAATAAAATCATGGCATTTTCAGGTAAATGGATGGAGTTGGAGAATGTAATGCTAAGAGAAGTTAACCAATCCCAAAAAACCAAATGCCAAATGTTTCCTCTGATATAAGGATGCTGATTCATAATGGGGTTTGGGCAGGGAGCATGGGTAGATTAGACAAAAAAGGGAAGGAAGGGGAAGGGACGGGATATGGGAGTAGGAAAGATGGTGGAATGAGATGGACATCATTACCCTAAGTACATGTATGAAGACATAAATGGTGTGACTCTACTTTCTATACAACTAGAGATATGAAAAATTGTGCTCTATATGTGTAATATGAATTGTAATGCATTATGTTATCATAAATAACAAATTAGAATAAAAAAATTTTAAAAAAGAATTAAAAAATAAACATTTTATATAAGATATATATTATATATAAATATATATGAATATATATTCATATAAGTATGAAATATTTTGTTATACACACACACACACACACACTTACTATAAATATATAAATATATGTATTTGCTATGCTTCCTCCTGCCAAAGGGTCTTTATAAATACTGCTCCATTTGTCTGGAATGCTCTACTCAACCGTTTGTCTGATTAACTCTATTTCTCTTTAGATATCAGCTCAAGTGTCACTTCTCAGAGATGCTTTTCCTGATATCCCTGACCAAGTCCCTCCTTGTCTAGACTTTCAGGACACTGTACATCATTCCCTTGCACCATCTGCCACAGTTATTGTTTCATGGATGCATGATTATTTTGTTAATATTTGTCATCCTCATTAAACAGAAAGCTCTAGAAAGTAAGGGACTTCTCTGTTATGCTGTGCTTGCCATATTTCCTCTGGAACTTAGTAAAATGCCTTAGTAGAATGCCTGGAGTAATTTCAGAATGAACAAAGGCTCACAGTAGTTTACCTCATTACCATATCAGACCTAGTCCAAAAGCCCAAATGCATTTTTTATCTTTATTTACTTATTTGTTTATATGTGGTGCTGAGACTCAAACCCAATGCCTCACACATGCTAGGCAAGCGTTCTACCACTGAGCCACCACCCCAGCCCCAGCCATATGCATTTTTAATTCAATAAATTCTGGGCTCAGATAATATTGAAATTATACTGAGCATCAAATTGTATTTTTAACTTAAGGTTTTTAAAAGTCTTGCTTTGTCTCCAGATAGACAACAGGAATAAAAATCTCAGATAATATTTTGCAGGTCAAAAACAGGACTCCAGTGAGCCAATGCATACAGGAGACTCATGATCTTGTATCACAGGCTCTGCAAACATGTTGCCCTACGATCTGAAAAGCATGTTTCTTAAAAGAGGTTTTTCAGAAAGACTCAGGAGCTGTGGGAGGAGAGGGCCAAGTTGGAGGATGAGGAGAGCCAAGTGGGCAGGGCTCCTCAAGATTGGTTCCTGAGAGAAGCTGCAATTTTAACTGTTTTAACTGACTGAATTTCTTATTCTTTTACCTATTAGGCCCTGGCATAAAAAGACTTTTAAAACCATGTCCAAAACTTTTTTCTTTTCTTTTCTTTTTTTTTTTTAAGAGGGTAGTCACATAGAAAGAAACTAAACCTTTCTTAACACTATTCAAATTTAAACAAAATTGTGCCAAAATCTCCCCTCATCTCAACCAATGTATTTTGTTATTCCTACCGGAGTAGCCTAATTGATTAGACTGGAGAAAGCTTTGTTTGATGAGTCATTTGACTGGAACCCATTTCTAGACTTGCACATAGTCATCCAACCACTCTGAAATTCCCCTCAGCTGGTGTAAACCAGCTTCCTCATGCAACCACTTTTTCCTCAACCAGAGAATTGTTGGTTGAGTGCCTTGAGCTTGAATTTCAAGTTCTCCTAAGAAACCATGTACCAGAGACCACATATTGGTTTGCTCAATTCCTGTTTCTCCTGTCTGCTAATTAGAGAGTTGGAAAACAAAATACACAAAACAATAAAACAAACAACACAGCAAAAGAAAGAGATGTTTTCTGAATTCTATTGCATCCAGCATTTTTGACATGACCCAATTAATTTGGATTTAACTGGACATCACACCAGTTAGAAGAGGCCTATGGATGGACCCCTCAGTGCTATTAAACCAAAACTCTTTGTCACCAAGGGATCTCTGAAGTAAAAGCATTTGCTGAGTCATTATAGATGCAGAGTAAAATACAGGGTAAACCATAATGAAAAAAAGATCTGGGTCAATCCTACAACTATTAGTAGCAAGCTTAGGTAGCAGGTAGAAAATATCTGCTAGATCTAAAACTATGGGTATTTTTGTAAACTTAGGGGAAAGGAAAGTACTGTTTAAGTTGAGCCTACATTGGTTATAGGTAAAGGGGTGGGACTATTTGAAGTGGTGATAGCTTTGGGATGGGAGGGCAATCCACAAGAAAAAGTAATTGTTGCTTCTAGAGTTATTGGTGTGAATAGTCCAGAAAGACTACAGGTAACAGGACACTGTGGCCCAAGAGACTGGTTGGTCTTGATGGGAATTGGTTCTAACATACATTGAAGAATGTAATGTTGTTCTTTTCAGTATATGATATTGATTAACTTTTCCTCTTTTCTCTTTCCTTCCATTCTCTGGACCTTTATAATTAAATTTAGGACATCTCAGTAATTTTCTTTTATCAGTATTAAGATCTAGAATGTTAATATTTTGGTGTCCATATGAAAGCAAAGCAAAAAGCACCTACTGACAGGAAGTATTTAAATAAAAGGTCTACATGACTATGGAATTGCAAGGGTCCCATCATAGCCAAAATAATCTTGAGGGTGGGGGAACAAGGTAGGAGGGATCACCCATTTCAATTTCAAAACATAATGCAAAGAAACAGTAATCAGGACAGCATGGTTCTGGAAAAATGATACATTTATAAATCAATGGAATAGAATTGATTCTAGAAATAAACATTTTTCAACTTATTTTCAACAAGGTTGCTGGTATCATTCAAGGGAGTATGCTAGTCTTTCCAGTAAATGATGCTGGGACAACAGAATTGCCATATTAAAAAAATGACATTGAATCCTTACCTCACATCATACTTAAAAAAAAACAACTCAAAATGAATCAAAGACTTAGATGTAAGAGGTTAAACTATAAAATTCTTAGAAGGAAATACAAGCTAAACCATAATGATCTTGGATTTGGCAAAGCACTCTCAAGTTTGACACCAAAAGCATAGTGATCAAGAAAAAAAAAAGCTAAATTGTATTTCATCAAATTAAGACTTTTATATTTTAAATGACAGCATCAGGAAAGTGAAAAGAACCTCCAGAATGAAAGAAAATATTTGAAAATCACATATCCAATCAAGGACTGGTATCCAGAATATAAAATGAGCTCTTAGAACACAAAAATAAAAAGACAAATAATCAAATTAAAATTGGGTGAAGGATGTGAATTCATGGTTCTCCAAGGGAGATAGATAAATGGCTAATAAGTATAAGAAAAGTTACTCAACATTCTAAATCACCAGGTTAAAACCACAGGAGATACTTTTTCATACCCTCTAGGATGGCTATAATCAAAACGACATATAGTAAGTATTGCTAAGGACATGGAGGAGTTGGAAACCTCATAACTGCTGATGGGATGAGAACTGGTACAGTCTGCCAGATCCTCAAATGGTCAAATATAGTGTTTATCATGAGACCCAGCAATTCCACTCCTACATATATAACCAAAAGAAACAAAAATATATTCCCACATGAAAACTTGCATTCATGAATGTTTACAGCATATTATTCATAACAGCCAAAAGGCAGAAACAAACCAAATGTCCATCAACTGGGAGCAGGTGCATAAATAGTGGGACACCCACATGATGTAGTATCATTTGGCCTACAGGGAATGAAGCATCCATGCATGCTACATCACAAATAAACCTTGAAAACTGGATGCTCACTGAAAGAAGCCAGTCACAAAAGACCACATAGGATTCCACATGGAACAGGAAGCTGTATAGTGCTGGCATGTAGATCAGTTATAGCTTAGAGCTGGGGTGTTGAGGAGATGATAGAGAGGTGATAGCAAGAGGCCATGGTTTTTTTTTTTTTGTTTGTTTGTTTGTTTTTGTGGTGATACAAACGTCCTAAAATCCACTATAGGTTGATGATTATACATATATGTGAATACATTAAAACTAATGAATTTTATATATTATATGGGTAAATTATAAGGTATGTGAATTTTAATCTCAATAAAACTTTTTAAAATACCTAGGAAGGCATAGTGACAGCCTATTTCCCCCAAGTGCCATCATTACTACTCTACGGATTGAAGAACAAGATGTTGTGTGAAGTGGGTGGAGGCCGTACAGTCCTTGGTTTATAGTGGTTTGACTCATAATTTTTTTTGACTTTCCAGTGGGGTGAAAGTGATACAAATTCATCAGAACCTATTCTCCAAATGTTGAATTTTTCTCCTTTTCCATGCTAGTGAAATGCCGAGCAGCCCAGGAGCTGTGCTTCCCATTCAGCCCTGTGACCACGAGGGGAAACAAACTAGGGATCCATGGTGGGCTGTACTGATAAGCCATTGTTAGGTTAGGGGCAATAAATGCAGTTTTATGATATTTTCAATGTACAGAGGGTTTATCTACCACCTGTTGAAGAGCATCTGTATATAAACTCAACGATATGAACTTCTCAAAAAGGTTGTGATGATCCCGCTGAGTATACAGCTTCCTAATAAAGACCAGTGCAGAACAGAGACACACTCTGGCGGCTGTTATCTGCCACCTGGTTGTAAGCAGACTTTTATTTACTTATTTATTATGTTCTGTTCCCACTGGAAGGGGATAAGAGGCATTGGAATAGACACTTCTAGTGTAATAGTCTTTATTTCAGTTTTTCTTTACTTCTTTAATGCTTTTTATCAGAAGATTCCTCTCTACCACAGCATGCCCATGGATGTAGTGAACACCTTAGTCATGACCATATCCCCCCACAATACATTGCTTAAGACAAAGAAATCCTTAATATGGAAGAAGTGAACCAAAGTCTCATACCCACAATAATATTTGGCCTTACCATATATTCCACCACTCAGAAATTCCTGACTTTACAGGAAGCTGAAATGGACACCTGAATACTCAGTTTGAAAGACACCTTGTAAGGTGGTATTTGAATTGATATAAGCTCTAAGCCTGTGAGCAAAATAAGGTGCTATGTCTTTCTGATCTAGGATACAAAAGTGGAAGTGAGAGGGGCATATAGTGAACAAACCATAAACTTTTTGTTTCCTGTAGGCTTGACCTTTAATTCTTGTGGTTTATAACAAGAATAATTTCAAGACCTGGAAGCAAAAGCTGCCTCCCAACCATTTGAAGCTTCTTGTGCTATTCAGCCAATGAAAGGAAAATAAGGTTCTTGCATTGTCTGATTGATTCTGATGATCAAAGGAAACAGAGTTGATCTGAGCACAACGGGGTCAGGTCATGCCTGGCATCCTCTGGAGGGCCTCTCAGGGCTTTAATATTTGGTGATAAAACTAATGTAAGATTATGTCAGTTAGCTAACACCAGAAAGACTGAAAGAACTCCTTATTGTGAAAAAGCAAGTGCACATTGAGTTAATAATGTGAAAAGAAAATATCAACTACAGCTTCATGACTCTTTGCAACTGTGAGAATTGTGCTAAATGCCTGCATTTTCTTTCCTGGTTTGTTACATAGACAATACTTGTACATAAAGAGTTTTAGTTTTTCTCCCTCCCTTTCCACTAACATTTTATACAAGGTCTGTTGGTAATGGCTTATTTTATATTTTACATCTTAGACTATACTATATCATTCTGTGATTATGATTAAGCTAAAAGAGAAATAAACATCACCCAGAAGTGTATTCCTAGAGAGCGCTTTTGTCTCTCCTTTGGGGGAGGTGTCTAAAAAATCTTTGTTTCCTCAAAATAAAATTCTTCTCCTGTAGGCATTTTCAGGAACTTAACTCTTATTTGGGGAAGTGTTGGACAATATGGCTTCTTTTCTGCTCTCTAAAAATACTTTTTCAACAGAAGCATCAATCTGGCAATGTGTGAGAGGGAAGGCTCTATAGTCAGAGGCAACAGGGTTTGAATCCTGATTCTGCTAATCCACACTGGGAAACTTGAGCAAGGACTGAGCCTGGTTTCCTGGTCTGTGGGATCAGAGTAATAGAAGATATCCCTAGATAGTTCAGAGAACATGATTAAATAAGACCAGGGCTAGACCTCCACCTAGCAGAACCTGGCCAAGCCTTGGAGGCTGTTCAAGGGCAAAAGAGCAGAGGCAAAGAAAGTGCATGGGAAGAACTCACTTTCCCACCAAGGAAAGAAGCGCGGTGACAAGCTCCAGTCGGAGTAGCGCCCAGCAGAGGCCATCCTCACCCTTGCGTAGTAAGGTTCCTGCAGATTTGAGGTTTCATTGGTAAGGTCACAAAAGAGTTCTGGAGTCCCCCAGCAGTCCTCTTTATTTTGCCATTGTCTCTGGCCATACCTGGAGAGAGGAAAAGAGCAAGATCCGCATTTCTTTTCTTCATTAAAGGAATCTTCAGGGTTTTTTTTTTTCCAGTGTATTAATTTTTTAGAAAGCTTGAAACCTGCCCTCTAATATTAGTACCATTGTGAACACTTACAGCTATCTTTAAGAATTTTTAAAAATATTTGTTAGTTGTAGATGGATATAAAAATAAATAAATAAATAAAGGTTTTTATATGGTGCTGAGGATCAAACCCAGTACCCCACACATGTTAGGCAAGCCCTCCACCACTGAGCCACATCCCCAGCCCCAAAAATGTTTTAAAAATTCTTGTTAAGTGCTAGCTTGGTGAAAGACGAATTCAACCTTGACAAGTTCTGTATCACTAAGGCAAGTGTGTGTGTATAAATACTGAGCAGTATTCTGATGTATGGATAAACTTCCATTTTTAAGTAGTCATCCTCCACGTCGGTAATGCTTCTGAGGTTTTAAGTATGTGGCTTTTCTTCCTCTTCTCATCAGCTTGCTAGTGAGTAACACAGCTGAGCCTGAGAAGTTGATGCACTTAGATGATGCTTACTGAATGCACATAACTTATATCTTTATTGACAATAGAATGGAAACAGTAGTGAGGGCTCCATGGTGAGCCCTGTGAGTAGCGGTTGGAGAGATAGAGGCTCCTGTACAAAAGGGTGGTAAGGCCAAGAAGCAAACAGGTTGGCTCAGCCTGAGGCCAGGGGATGGGTAGGCTTTACATCCTTATCAGTCACAAATCTCCTCAAGAGGTGATGGTGGGGGAACAGAGCAGAAAGTGGAAGCTAGAGAGAAGCCTCCCCAAAATATTTGTTGAAGGACTTGGAATCTTAACTTTCTAGCTATATAATGAGGAATATTGCTGTTCTTTCTCTTCCTAATCTATACAATAACAGCAGTCTCATTACAGTAGGATTAAAACAGAACCAACATATGGAGCACAATTTGATATTTTTTAAATTGTTGTTTATTGATGAGACCTTGTGTTTGGTAGCTGAAGTTAGGTGTCAAGACCTCTTTTTTAATATAATATCTCATTTTTGCCACATCCCAAATGACACAGATATTAACAGTAGACCCACATAAATTGAATGCAACAAAAGTGAAAGTTTTCCAAATTATAAATCTGCATTGTGCTGTTGAAAATAGCACAATTAATTAATAGAGATTAATCCTATTTATAGCACAATTCCTATGGAGTCAGGAATGGATCCAGGTATTCTGAGTTCTGAAATTTATATAAGCTTGGGAGCCCTCTTAAAGACAAAAGAATCACAGACTAAAAATTCTTCCATGAGGACTTGAAATTTAATCTTCATTAGCTTCATGGTAAAAATAAATAAATACATAAATAAAAGTACCAATTTCTAGTTTCTATATGCTGGAATTTTTTTACATCCTCAATTGTGCATAGATGTGATTTTTTTTTGTAGTGGAGAATCTTCTATTGTAATGATTTTTACATCTTACAATTACTACACAAAGTATTTAGAGAAAAGTAGGAGCAATTAAACACCAAGAAACTTCTGGGGATATTTTTTCTGGAATTAATTAATAGGAAAAATCTGTTCTAGGACTTATCCCATATTGGAAAACACAGATGTATTTATGGAATAAGAATTGCTACCTTGATTCATGTCTACATCTGATTTTTTGAATTTCTGATGAAAAAATGCAAAAGTTAAATTGTGATGACCTTCTGTCTCACACTCAGCCAGCATCTCGAAATGTGTCAAGGGAAGAAGAGCTTCAAAAACCCACAGGGAATACACGGGTGGGAAAGCCTGCCATTTCCAAATCAAGATGGTCTGTTTCTAAATCTTGATCCAAGAAAGGAGTTTATTATCTCTGAGTGTTGGCAAGGATCTTATAAGATTACCTTAAAGATCACAGGGAGAAGAGCATGCGTCAGCCTGTTCCAGTATGTGTTCATGTGTACAAGAGTCATCAATGTTTGAAAAGAATTTTCTAAATAGTGAACCCACTTTTAAAATGGATTTTTAGATTAAGACATATTGTGCACTCATCTTAATGTTTACCACAGGATCATTTCAACTATCAATGGTTTTCCTCGAGTACTGGCCATGTGCTAAACGAGTAACTTTCAACATGCCTTTGACAAATGTCTATTGAGAGCTCACCCTGTGCCAAGCACCTTTGTGGAGTCAAAGTCTCTCGGTGCTGTTTGCTAGGCTGTAGCATCTCCCCTAATGACTGCATGTCATCATGCATTTCAAGTTCCCAGACAGCTTTCAGGAAAGATAAGTCACCCTACCTCTGCTTCTTTTCAACCCCCTGGAAGCCCCTCAGATGAAAGCTTAGATCCTAACACCCCATTGCATTCCAGAACATGCTGTCCCTGTGGCCTTCTCTGCTAGGGGAAGAAGCTCAATTTACTTACATTTTGTATTGCACAAAATAGGTACTGTTGTTGCCAGTAAGTGCCTTCCCACGCTGCCAGTGCAAAATGTTCTGGAAATTTCGGGACTGAAACTGTACCTTCTGAGGCTTCAGAGAATCATGGGCTGGCAGAATTCCTAATAAAAAGAAGGAAAAACACTGAGCATGACTCTGAACACTATTGTTATTAATAGTAGTTTTTACTATAATATCTGCATCAGGGTTCCCTAGTCACACGAAGTATAGGTGGCCCAGAAATCAACATTTTTGACCCTTCAATGTGATGATTTTGATTCATGATATAGTTTCTTTTCTTCTTTTTAGTTTTCAGTTCTGGGGGATAGAACTGGGGGCCTCATGCATACCAGGCAAGGTCTCTACTCTCAAGCCCCATGTGAAGTTTCAAAATGATGTGCTCCAGACTATCAAAATGTATGAGATATTCTTCCACCCATTCCCCAAGCTGTAAGGGAAATAAATCTCATTGAAAGATTATGGCCCTTCATTCCTTCCAGATGGAGATGGGATTTAATGACTGGGATGAATGCTCCACACCAAGGCCACATGTTCACCTTGCTAGGAGCCTCTTTCTTCCTCCCTCCACCTCCTCCTTGTGACTGGCATTCAGTGAACATTGAGCTGGCATTCATATGAGCCATCAACTAAAATCAGGCCCTGTGTTCGAAACTTGTTAACTCATTTAATTCCCACAGCCACCAAATGACATAGGTATTTTTATTACAACCTTTTCAGATGGGGAAACTGAGGCCTAAAGCAAGCCCAGCAAGATGCAGAACCAGGGTCATTTTGGTAGCATGAGAATTCCTGGGAAATGAGTTCTTGTTACTAAGGACCAGAGAAATAGTATATGCTAATTCATAGATTTCTGGAAGAGAGAGCTTTGAATTACTTTTATGTATCATTCCTGGACAACTGCACCGTCATGGGAATTTTCTTAAGCCCCTGACACTGAGAGATACTCATGCGTTGACCTGGGATTCCAACGGCCTTGCTCTCAAGTATGTTGTGGTAATAACTCTTGGAGGGTTCTCTGTTAACATCAGTAATGAATTCTCACAAGTTGCTTATGGTCCCTATTCTGTGCCAGGCACTGCTGTATGGAAATTGGCACATATATTAACTCATTGATCTTCACAATGACCTTCAATCCTCATTCTACTGAGGGGAAAATTGAGGCACAGGTAGTAAATGGCAGAATTGAAATCCAGACTCTGACATTCTGGCTTAGGAGGCCTGGTCTCATCATCACTAAGCAACAGTGTCCCTTCAAGGCAAAAGAAATTTTAAAGAGAGAGAGAGAGACAGATGCATGCACATTTGTTCCAAATGAAGTTCCTTGTGCCCGCAACAGTGCCTCCTTTTAATAGACACTCCTTAGGTACCTATAGAGTTACTCATGTCATACATAGAAGATCACCCTGTGTCTGCTCTGACCATTTAATGACTTAAAAAAGCCAAAATCTTTACAAAACCCAGAAAAATATCAGTGTCATCTCTGTCTTTTGATCAGATTCAGATGACAGAGATTGGGCAATTAAGAAGAAATGAATCACTTACCTTCTCCACCAGTCAGGAGGAGACTGACCAGGACACCTAGAAAGCAATGTTTTCGCCTCATGGTCCAAGTGCGACTGGTCTGGCAACAATGTTCCCTTCAATGAGAAGACAACTCAGCTCAAAAGAGGAAATTAACACAAGCAGGCTGACCATCCTTTTTTTCAGGCTGTTTCTTTGAAGCAATTCATTTTGTTACATTGAATTAGCAATACATTTTAAATAAAATGAAATCATGAGAATTCAAGCTGGGTGCAGTGTTGCCCCCCTGTAGTCCCAGCAACTGGGGAATCTGAGGCAGGAGGATGGCAAGTTCAAGGCTAGCCTGGGGAATTTAGTGAGACCTTGTGTTAAAAAACAAACAAAAACCCCCCAAACAAACAAAACCCCAACCAGCCAAACAACAACAGCAACAACAAAAATATACCATACACCAGGCGTTGGGTTTGATTTCCAGTACTGAAAAAAAAAATTAGTAAAAAAGATAATTTGCTATAAGTCACATTTGGTAGAAGCTTGTTTTTGTTGGAGCTTTGCTAGCAGATCCTGAGGGCAGGGGCAGGGACTTTGCAAGTTGCAAGGAAGAGAGGCTGACAGGGACCAGGATTGGGCCAACAAGTTGATTTTGAATAATGTGCTTCGTGATTACAGCTATCAGGGCCTTTGGCAGTTGTTCACAAGGTGGAGTCTTACTGACTCTTTCCATCTTTTTCTTTCTTCTTTTTTTGGTAGCTTCCCAGTTAACCTAACTCCAATGCCTCAGGCCTTCCTGCACTCTTTGGCTTTCCAAAGGGCTTCCTGCTGTTTTATGACTGGTCCCCTCTCTGTGGTGGCCTTAGATCCCCCTAAACTAATGCCACTCCCTTTTCCATTCCCACACTTGAGTTCCAGCAACCTGGATAAAACCTGTCAAACCAAGATGCCCTTGAGAAGTGAGTGTGAATCAGCATGTAGCTCAGTCACTGTGAATTGCATCAGATCTGTTTCATATCTCCTTCGAATCCGACTGGATTAAGTCATCTGTTATTTGCCCATTGATGCACTGTATTTTTTTTTCTTACCATTTTTCTTTTAGCACACATTTTTAGAGGTACTAAAATTATACTTCCAAACACAAGAAAGTCATGAAGATTTGTTGTTGTTGTTGTTGTTATCAAAAGAGGCTCTTGAGGTCAAAAGAGGAAATGCATCTGGCTTCTTTGTCTTCGAAGGCAATTGGTCTTTTTCAAGTTCTCCATAGAATACCCCCTTCAGTGTGGAATACATGGTGCTGGGTCTTACTTGCTCACTCATTCATTCATTTCCATTTAACAAATATTTGTTGCCCTGCCATCAACTAGATACTGTTCCCAGCAGCAGGTAAGACAGACACTGTCCTGCTTTCTGGAAGTTTCTTTTTAGTGGAGGCTGGAGACATGGATGATAAAGAGTTATGTCAGGGATGTTACTCTATTCAATTTTCCTCCTTCACTTTCTTAAGTGAAAGACACCGTTTCAGAGAGTGGCTTGAAAGTCACCTCACCCCAACCTCCATCATAAAGATTAGCCAAGACCAGAGCTTCTGGAAGGGAAGGGGAAGGTGTAGAAGAGCTCAAGGTCAGGGTGAGTGCTGCTGATGGAGAGGGGCAGTCTGTAGAGAAAGCGGAGGACAAAGAAAGGAGCAGAAGGGGAGTTTTCCCATGGGTGGACCCTCTCTGCTATCCCCAATCCTATGACCCAGCACCTTAGGAGAGCAAAGTAGATACTGGGGGCTTGTGACTCTGGCTTTGTGGGGAACTGGGGCCATTGCAGGGATAGCCTTAACCATGACCAGTTTGGGAACAGAGAGCTTGTTAGGGGTTTTTTTCAGAGACCAGTGGACACAGCTATAACCAGTGTCATATAACAAATTCCAGAGTTACTTGGGGACAGCTTTCTGTAACACTTTCTGTAACAGAGCTGCATGGGAAGGTTTGTGGGTAACACCAGGTGTATTATACACACCTTCATGCTGTGCCAAACTTCTGCAATCCAGATCCTTATCTCCCTGTCATTACTTATAAGGTAACTTGTGCTTTTAAAGAAGAAATGAGCAGCATATCTTATGTTACTTTCTACCTGGTTGGTGTGCCTTGTCTCCTGGCCTGCTTGGCTTCCCCCTTCACTTGCTGATATTGCCCCACTCAGTTCTAGACTTTACATTGACCTTGTTTTTTTTTTTTAAGTGGGGGCTGATAGTCTGGGTTTCAACTATTGGTGTTCAATATCTTCAATACCAGTGGATCTTATTTTGATGATACCAGATTGCTTTAAGTTCCAGTTAAGAACAAAGGGGAAATACATTACATCCAAGATTTTACATGTAGAGAAGCAGAGAATGAAATTGGGACTTTTAATGAGTTATTGACTTTGTAGAAGAAATAAGAGGAAAAAAAAAGAAGAGGGAAGAATGTAGAATTCAATTAAGAATTGAATTCTCCAAAAGGGTGAGCTTTTGAGCTCTCCAGTTTTAGAAGCCAAACCAGTCCTATCATCCTTACATGGGCTGAATAATATAATAACCTGCATAGAACCCAACATGGCCAACAGTGCCTCAAGATAGATGAAATGAGAAGATTAAGTTCTATTTCCCCACTAATCTGGAAGCAGAAGAATTTGTACAGAATTGTTTCAAATGATATGTTATTTGGTGTGGGTAAAAATAAAATCATAATTAACTTTCTGTTTTGCCTTGCTTCTGGTGTGGAATGCCGGATTCAGACTTCATTCTTGGCTTTCTTCCTGCCTTCCACCCATACCCTGTAGGGAAGAGAGTCCACCTTGACCTTGACAATGGGTTCTTCCATTGTGTTGTGTCTGGAGAGAACTTACCCAAGCCTCTGCCTTGGAGAGACTCCATTTTCTTCTTCCATTCTACTTGTGCCTTCAGCAAACTAACAATTCATCTAAGTAAGGAATCATTATTAGTTATTTCTAGTTGTGACATGGGATTTTATTACTTTTATTATTATTATTTTTTAGAAAATATTGCAGTATTAAGAATGAAATGGCATAAAGTCTGAGATTTTCTTTAAAATAACAAAGGGTTGAGAATAGGGGTGGGTGACTGTCCTCAAGCTGATAATTGTTGAAACTGGGTATTAGGTACTTGGAGGTCCACTGTATTTTCTGCTTTTGTATATAATTTTTCATGACAAAGGAAACATTTTAAAAGTTTATCTACAAGATGCCATCTTTATAAAACTCCTTTGAATAATTTTAATGCCATTTTGATGTCAATAATATTATGTAATAATTATGGGGCTCTGTGTTAAGTTCTTTCCATGCATCATCTTAATCTTCTCAACAAGACTGGGGACTTAGTATTATTATCCTTATATTATGAACGAAGAAGCCAAGACAGAGAGCCTATGAGAACTTGACCAAGCTTCTATAGCAAATGGTCATAAAGTGAGGGATAAAATTTCATCGAGGGCCTGAGGGATAACATAAAATTACTTGTGTGTTATTGTAATATTCATTCTATAAAGGGATAGAATGATGTCCAAGAAGATTTGGCCCTTCATTCCTTTAATTGTTTATTTATGCAACAAAAATGTTTATTGAGAATCTACTGGATGCCAGGCACTGTGCTAGGAATCAGGAGGCAGAAATGAACAATATGGTAGAGCCAACCCATGGAGCTGCCAGGTTGTGGTGGCAAAGGGCCATGTGTTCCTTATTTTCCATCAGGAAAGTGTTTAAGAGTGGGTACCCAGGATGGTGGTATTCACCAATCGAAATCAGATTGACTGAGTTTCTTGTTTCTGTACCAGATCCTTTCCCTCAGTCTGTGATGTGGAAGTATCTGATCATCTTGAATTATAATTAGAATGTCAAACTCAAGGAAAACCTATAGAACCAAAACTACCAACAACGTCATTCCTTTCTTTGTTAGGCCCTCCTAACTCCCCTGAGTAGTGCCTATGACCTTTAACAAGTTCTGCATTCTAGAAATAAGGATTTGCAATTCATAATAGTTTGTGGACTAGAATTTAGAAAAGAAGGAACTTCATTATTCAATCATAGACAATAAGCATAATAAGTTTAATTTCTATAAATTTTTGGACTATGAACACTTACACTTAATAGGCTGAGTCTTCTTGATCTGAAAACCTAAATATAAAATGTTCCAAAATCTAAAACATTTTGAACACTGTCGTGAATTAAAGTAGAAAACTCCATACCTGACTTCAGGTGATGGATCATAGTCAAAATGCAGGGGCACTAATAATGTTATAATACATTTACATTCAGGGAATATATATAAGGCATATGTGAAACATAAATAAATTTTGTGTTTGGACTTGGATCCTATCCCCAAGATATCACATTTTGTATTTTTGAATATTCCAAAACACTTCTGGTCCCAAGTGTTTTGTGATATTTGTAATAGTAATCAACTACTTATTTAAAAATCTCCACTCAAAAGACTTAGAGTTTCATTAAGTTAACCCTTTCTGCTCTTGCTCATAGTTTTCTGGATAAGAGACTATTGATTTTGCATTGATTGTTCTGTCCAATGTCTTTGACCTTGAAAACTCTACTGGTTATCACTAATCATTGGGTCCATATCCAAGTATGTTTGTGTATATTGTTTTGACTCTGGAAAGATTTTCAGGGCATAACCAGAATCCCACCAGTTCTCACTTTCTCCATTGCAACTGCTTGAGTCCTGCTACCATGATATCTTACATGGATTGTGACCACAGCCTCCTGTCTGGTCTCCCAACCTCTGCCACTGTCCTTTGCATTATGGGCAGAGTGTTCCTTTTAAATGTGAAATTAGAATTTTTGCTCAGAACCCTACAATGTCTTTCCATCTCATTCAGATTGAGAGCGAAACTTCTCTGGCTAGGCCCTTTCTAATCTAATCCCATCTCCTATAAATTAATCTAGAACTCTCCTAACCTACAGAACTCACTCCAGCCTGGATGACTTCTTTCCATTTCTTGAACATGCCAGATACATCCCCACCCAGAATGGTCCCCTCTGTTGAATTCTCTTCCTGCGCTGTCTAAGCTCACTCCTCACTTCCTTCCATCTTTGCTTAAAGATGACCTCATCAGTGGATTCCTCCTGACCACCCCAAATAGAGGCACCCCCTGTCCCCACCAACAAGCTTTCTTGGCTTCGCTTGTCTCTGTAACACTTAGCATCATTTAATAGGCATGTTTTATTTTGTTTCTGCTGTCTATGTCTATAGAATATAAATTCTAGAAGGTCAGGCTCATTGTGTG